GACGCTTAACCATCTGAGCCACCCAGGCGCCCCCTGATAAATTTTTTTAAAAAAGATTTTGAGACAGAGCGCGCGAGGGAGGGGCAGAGGGAGAAGCAGGCTCATGGCTGAGCAGGGAGCCGGACACGGAGCTTGATCACGGGACCCCGAGATCACAATCTGAGCTCAAGACAGCTAGCTGCTTAACTGACTGAACCACCCAGGTGCCCCCATACTGATAAAGTTTTAAAAAGGAAAAACAAAAGTATTCATGATGCCAAGAAAATATGAATACTTTTCAATAGCAAAAGTAGGAAGCCAAGATGAGTAATTGGTCCTCTCCCCTCCCACCCCTGAATTAATGTAGGAAAAAGGATAAATTCCTTTAAAATTGCCATGTTCTCAGTAAACTTTAAAGGATACAACCTGAGGGGCTCCTGAGTGGTTCAATCAGTTAAGCGTCCAACTCTTAATTTCAGCTCAGGTCAGGATCTCCAAGTTGTGAGATCAAGCCCGATGCTGGATACCACACTGGGTGTGGAGCCTGCTTAAGATTCTCTCTCCCTCTTCCTCTGCCCCTCTCCACCCCAAAAGGATACAGCTTGATACAAATGAGTATCTCCTATGAGAAAGAGAGGAAACGAAAGAAAGTTCAAAAAATAAGAAAACTCAAAATTTCTAGCCTCTTCCCCCAAAGAGATTTTTAAAAAAATTATTTAGAGAGAGCGTGCATGTATGTGCAGAGGGAGGGGCAGAGGAAGAGGGAGAGAGAGAAAAGCAGAAGCCCTGCTGAGTGAACCCAATGCGGGGATGGATCCCAGGACCCCAAGATCATGACCTGAGCTGAAATCGAGCTGGTCGCTTAATTGACTGAGCCACCCAAAAGAGATTTCAATACAAGTAAAAGAATAAGCTGATGAAAAACACAAAAATTCAATTTTAAAATATTGTCAGGATATCTATCTCTTAGAATGCAGAAAGATGTCAACACAAGAGAAAAGGTATTTAAGATGGAAATAATTCCAGGAGATTTAGTTTCTATACAATGGAAATTCTAAAAGAAAGGAATGAAATTGGTAGAGATAAGAATAAAATAATACAACAAAATTTCCCTGAACTGAATAAACCTGAGTCTTTAAATTAAAAGGGGTTCATCAGGGACACTTGGGTGGCTCAGTGGGTTAAGTGTCTGCCTTTGGCTCAGGTCATGAATCCAAGGGTCCTGGGACTGAGCGCCGCATCAGGCTCCTTGCTCAGTGGGAAGCCTGCTTCTCCCTTTCCCACTCCCCCTGCTGTGTTCCCTCTCTCGCTATGTCTGTCAAATAAATAAATAAAATCTTTAAAAATAAATCAAGGGGAGATTATGACCTTAGATTTGGCCTTTCAAACTACATTTCAAGATCTCAGGATTTGGAAGAAGTTTTAGACAAGGTCTCAAAAAGTATACCATCTATATACTCCACGTATTCTTGAAAAAAATTACTTAAGGAAGTATTCTAAGTTGAGAAAAAGAACTTCACTTCCACTATTTCACTGCTTTTTAAAAAAGTTTTAAAACAACTGCTTTGGATATCTTATTTATGATACAGCTGATAAATCCAAAATAAAGCAAACTGAACCACAGTATATTAAAAAAATAAGATCACCTAATCAAAAAACATTTATTCCAGGACTAAGAATGGTTTAACATTAAAAAAATTCATTACATTAGGGACACCTGGGTGGCTCAGTTGGTTGAGCATCTGCCTTTGGCTCAGGTCGTGATCCCAGCATCTTGGGATCGAGCCCCACATCAGGCTCCCTGCTCAGTGGGGAGCCTGCTTCTTCCTCTGCCTGCCGTTCCACCTGCTTATACGCTCTCTCTCACAAATAAAATCTTTTTAAAAAATTCATTACATTAACAAATATAATGAGTAAAGGGTGGGTAAAAACAAAAACTCTGGTATCTTAAAACCTTTTTTTTTTTTTTAAGATTTCATTTAGTTATTTGATAGAGAGACAGAGAAAGCGAGTATGAGCAGGGGGAGGGGCACAGGGAGAGGGAGAAGCAGACTCCAAGTTGAGCCTGACATGGGGCTCCATCCCAGGACCCCAAGATCATGACCTGAGCCGAAAGCAGACACTGAACTGACTGAGCCACCCAGGCGCCCCAGGTATCTTAAAATTTCAAAAAGGAAAACACAGTTTAAAAAAAGGATTTAAAAATGGTATTTTTTTAGATAAAATGGCTTTAAAAAAAGGTAAAATGCAGCATTTACCCCTGATAAAAAACTTACTATAATTACAAGGAACCTCCTTAGCATACATGCACTCAATCATCAGAAACCATCAGCACAAGCAATATGGTAAAACACTGGAAGTGACCTCATTCCAGACAAAAAAGGAGCACTTGTTGTCTCCACTATCTGTCAATACTGTTTCCGAGTCTAGCACATGAAGTAAGGAAAGGTATAAAGACTAGAAAGGAGGAGGCAAAAAAAATTTAGTACCTACAGATTATATGCTTGCAAACTAGCAAATCTAGCAATCAACTAAAACATATTTAATAAGGTATTTTTAAAAATCAGTAAATTTCCCATGTGCTAGCTTGGTAACAAAGTCCCATTCACAATAAAGCTGTAAAACATACGGGAAGAAAACAAGTAAGTATACAAAACCTACATTAAGTTAAAAACTGAAAACTATGAAGCTACCAAGGCACTGAAGACCTGGATAATGGAGAGAGAATGGAGTAGAGGCTCAAAGCAGTTTACTTCTCCAAATAATGTATACATCAAATGAATAGTTTATTATTGGAACCTGATGGACTATAAAATCATCTAGAATAACTAAGATAAAGAAAAATTTTAGAAGAGAGGACCTCACTCTCCTTGATATTATAATGGATGTGAAATATACCATTTAATAATATTCTCAAATGACTTTAAGATCAACAGAATTTAAACAAGTCCACAAATGTGATTTGTGAAAAAAGTAGCATTTGAAATTAACAAAAAAATTTGGTCTCCCACTTGAAAAAAAAACATTTCTACTGCATATAAAAAGGTTCTAAGGGAATAAAAGCAAAGATGGCAAAGAGGCTTTAGCTCACTAACTAAAGCACTATACTAAGAAGGATTCTGGGAGTGCCCAGGTGACTCAGTTGGTTAAGCGTCTCCCTTCGGCTCAGGTCATGATCGCAGGGTCCTGGGGATCGAGCCCCGCATCAGGCTCCCTGCTCATCGGGGAGTATGCTTCTCCATTTCCTGCTCCTCCACCCTGCTCATGCTCTCTCTCTCCCTCACTCTGTCTCAAAAAAAAAAAAAAAAAAAAAGATTCTGAATTCATAACTGTGCTCAGCAAAAAGGAAAGCAATATTTGACACCTTTATTGACCATGCTTATGGGAAGGAGAGGCAATGCCATATAACTACAATCCCTAGATTAATTTTTTTTAAGTTTTTATTTAAATTCCAGTTAGTTAACAAACAGTATAATACAAGTTTCAGGTGTACAATAGTAATTCTACACTTCCATACAACACCCGGTGCTCACCACAAGTGCACTCCTTAATCCCCATCACCTATTTCACCCATCATCCCACCCACCTTCCCTCTGGTAACCATCAGCTTGTTCTCTACAGTTGAGAGTCTGTTTCTTGGTTTGCTTCTCTTTTCTCTCTGCTCTTTTGTTTCTTAAATTCCACATATGAGTGAAATTATAAGATATCTGTCTTTCTCTGATGGACTCATTTCGCTTATCATTATACTCTCTAGCTCCATATATACACACACATCTTCTTTATCCATTCATCAACTGAAGGACACTTGGGCTGTTTCCGCTGCAATGAACATGGGGTGCATGTAACCCTTTGAATTAGTATTCTTGTGTTCTTTGGATAAATACCTAGTAGTGTGATTGCTGGATCATAGGGTAGTCCTAGATTACATTTTTAATATAAAAAATATAACCATCCAAGTACTGCAAAAAAAAAAAAAAATGCATGATATATTTTTTATAAGCTCAGATTGGGGAAAAAAAAACAACTTTTCCTAGCATGATGCCATAGTTAAAAATCATAATAAAATTGACAGATTTGACTACATAAAATGGAAAACACTTATATAGCAAAAGATCAGCAACATGACCAAAGATTAGTATTTTTACTAAAAAGGGTATGTCAAGAACTTTTACAGATCAAAAAAGACATCATTAATTACTCAGTATACTGGTATAACCTCTTTAGAGAATTGTAATAATTCTACAAATTTACATCTGAGAGCTGGTTCTCGGGAAATAGCTCACAAAGGGCTGTTATTGGATGTGGGCTATTTTTATTTTTAATGGCAAAACTCCAAATGTCTATCAGTGAGAGATCTGTTAAACTACAGCACTTCCATATAAAGGAATACTATCTTGTCATTTAAAAAAAAAAACAAAAACCAGATGAGGCACAGCTATGTGCATGGAACTATGTCATGGATAAACTACTGATAGTGCTTTCCTAAGAGGAAATGGAATCACAGGGAGATTCCACCTCGGTATATTGTTTTTACCTTTTTTATAAAGTGCATGTACTATGAAAAAAGGGGGGAGGGGAAGGAAATGTTTCCATCCCCAAACCAAAAGCTTGTAAGTAATTACAAGAAAAAAATATCTTGACAATGGTTTTTTAATTTCTTACTGATCCAGGAAAATTATGCCTTAAATTACAAAAATATTCACTCCTTTAATGAGAAAAAACCCATTCCCACACTTACATTAGCTGGTTGCTCTCAACAGGAACCTCTGTGTCTTCACTGAGTTCCAATCTATTACGCCTGTAGGTCGAACCAACACTCAATCCATGAATTAATAATAATGGGGCAGAAAGAATTTTCCTCCTCACATTGCCAAGGAAACCTCTCAGCCACAATTCAAACACAGGACGTGTTTTTAAAACATCTCCCAACTACTGGGAGATTAAGTCCATTCGAATAACCTTTGTCAGACTGGAGACAGCTAGGCTTAGTTATCTCCTCAAAAACAAAAACAAAAATAAAAACCAACAAAAAAGAGAGTTCATTTAAAGATGAACTTCAGAGTCAAAGGATTATTGGAAAAAAAAAATCCATCTTCCATAGCCGAACAATATAATTTAAAAAGAAAGAAGAAAAAGAAAAAAGAAAAAGAACACCAAAATTCAATAAGATCCAATTTCTGGTCTTCAAGATTTCTTCACCTATTAAGAAAAAAACAGAAACCTTCCCCCATCTTTATTATCTGTATAATAAAAGCATACTTGTATGAAAAAATATAAAGTGTTTTATGTATATAATATACATATACACATATACTAACTGGCTTATACACACACACACACATATACACAAATGTGTAGAAATAAAACATTTGGGTAAGTTTTCCCTTTTAAAATACACTACAAAAGCCTTCAGTTTTGGGTTCATTATAAAAATAGTGAACTTACTCTTACACCAAAGTATCATGACGTGTATCGCTATGTTACACTAAATTGTGCCCAGCCCACAGAATAAACATGAAGGGAAATCCTTACACGTGAATCAATGTGTATAATACGGATGTATGTACATCATATTTCTCATCTTCAGGGAGTGTTTAACCAAAAAAGATAGAAACGTATAGTTACCGAGTAACTACAGAGTGGTGCAGCATGCTGCGGAAGGCAGAGCAGCATTACAGCCGTCCTGAACTGGCACTGTCACAATCCAGAAAGCGTCTATCTAATGGAAGACTTTTTCTTCCTTTATAGCAACACCAGCGTCACTGGCATGACATTCAATATTGGCCCTGCAAAGGCTTGCTTAGGCAGCCTGGTTTCGTGTTTGTTTGTTTGTTTTCTTTTACAAGTGATGGCTACAACTAAAGACTTTATAATTATTCATTTACTCCAGTTAGTAAAAGGGTAAACTTTTGGAGTTTAAATTTCATTTCACAATGGTACATTTACCATTTAAGAATTAAAAAAACAAAAAACAAAAAACAAAAAACCCAAAAAACAAAAACAAAAAACGATTTTGATACATAGAAATGAGTTCTAAATTTTGAAACCAGCCCCGTAACAAAGCAGTTTTGATTCTCATGTAATAAATACTACATAATTTCTAGGCTAAATCTTGCCAAATACTATCCAAGACAAAACTAAAATCAAAACTTAAAAAAAAGTGGACACCTTTTACTCACACTTAATACTAGTCAATTTTCCAGGAAATTTTTGGGCAGGGAATATCCCCAAATCTAAAATGAAAAAAAGGAAAAATTGGGATCTTACATTAGTTATTCAGTCTGAAACTTGTAATAGACTTTTACTCAAAGTCATCATTTTCTGGCCTCCCACTCAACCACAGAAACATACTTTAAGAGTGGAAAGGGACTTTAAAGTTCACTGAGATCATTTCTCTCATTTTACCAGTGAGGTAATGATTCCTAACACCTGAAAATATTGAGTGCTTATGTTTAGCTAAGATTAGAAGCCAAAAAACAATCTCACAGTTAAGAATACAGTATTATGGATCATTCAGCATATATATTTAAAGACATTTAAGATCATTTAAAAGCAGAGAAACATTCTTTGGGAAATGGACACTGTGTTTGTCAAAAGTGTGCTCCTGGGGCTTTTACTCCAATTCCCAGTCAATCTTTTTCAATTTTTGTAAACTTTTTATTATGTCATTTGCCCGTAAATTTGTAAAAAGTACCCATACAATCTTTGTTTTATTGTTTTTACACTATTTTCTGAAAGTTAAAAAAGGCTATTCAAAGACTAAAAGTAAATTTTTCCTGATTGTTTTCTAATGTTTCCCTTTTACATAGATCCAATCCTAAATATAAAGGGTAACTCTATCACACTCAGTAAGTTGAAATGATAAAGCTGACCAGTATGAGGAGGCAATTAGAAATTTCTAAATTTCATGAGTTTTGTTTTTGCCAAGCTGTAAGTATGGATCAGGGTTTTTAAAAAACTAGAAAAATGGGAGAGAGGGGGAGGAATACCAGCTTAGTATGCGTTTTTCCCTCAATTTCACTGGTTTCAGAGCAATCAAACTTGATGGTAGAAACTTTTACTTAAAACCAAATTACAAGTTCAATCTACCAGCCAGAAATAGCCTAAAGCCTTTCAATGCTGCACTATATTTTTTAAGTTAAAAAATATCTTTTCTCTCTTAATTGGTATAAACAAAATTTCAAGAGACAGCTACACTGAGTTACTACTGTGAAATTTTTAATCTTCACTTTGTCAGCATTATTATTAATCCTCTGAGGAATTTTCAGCACGTTTTGTGTTTTCAGGTTTCCCCAGATTTGTGTATAAAGAATAATTAGTATAACTATATATAACAACTATAGCAATTAGGATACAGTAACATAGCAACAAGTTGCCCATTTCAAATGGAAAAAGGAAAAAGAAATTAAGGTAGTATTTCTTTTTCATTGCTTTGAATAACTTCATTCCCAGGATCCCAGCTCAGAACCAATGTAGAATAATCATAGTTAACATTTTTCAAGTTCATTTTCAAAAACATCAGCTGTTCTATATTGTCAAAGTCCAGGCTCATGATCTGTTTTGGGTGAAACTGGCTATTTGCAGTAAAGATACATTCAGACTGCCAACTACACATGGGGCAGCTTAGATACTGAATGGCAACTTGGGTCAAAGCTGGCCATATGCTCACCTTCCTCTGCCAGTAAATCAAAGGGTCACCTCCTGAGATCTCTGAATACTTCTCTTTGAAGTACTCATCAACTACTGCTATGGCAGAAGGAAACATGAAGCTTTTGCTTCCAATGGCAACATTATCTACAGCTGAGCTATCAAAAGACCCTGAACTGGAGGTGCCTTCTCTTATAGATGAGGTAAACGAATCAGCTCCTACGATGGCTGAGGGACCAGAAGCATCTGAAGTTGCAATATGGCAGACCTCTGAAGATTCCATATAATTGCAAACTTCTTCTGCAAGGATCTGCTTATAAGTTTCTAAATCAGCACCTTGAGGGAAAAAGTCTTCCAAACTGTTTTTAAAGCAAGGATCTAACAAAGCAGCCAAGATACAGGGCTTAGATTTAAGCATGGCACTCAGTAGGGTATCAGTTTCAAGTTTCAGAGATAAACTGTCCACCAGATTGAGTGCCTGAGTAATACCTCTTATTTGAAAATCTTCTCTGAGTTTCTGCAGAGAAAGGAGCAGATGATGGATTAGGGGGAGCACCTGATTCAATCCTGTGGTCTTGACACTCACTTTCTGGGTGGCCTCCTCAAATGGTTTCAGAATATCACAAACGTAAGTCATTAGAGTCCACTGAAGGGAGGTGAGCACAACTCCACTAGCTCTACCAAGACTATGGTGAACTGAGTAGCAATGCTCCAAGAGCCATTTTAACATATAAAAGGTAGAAATCCAATGGCCAGTTTCATCCTGCTTCAAATTCTTCCATGGAAGTTGGTGATCATTTTGGAACTCCTGCAGAATCTGACGGGCCTTGACTGAATGACTAAAATGATGACAGGTTTTCCTAGCAGCTACTAACATATTCTCAATGCTTTTGTGCTCACAAAAAAAGTCCTGAATGACTATATTTAAACAATGCAGGAAGCACGGCACATGGGTAAAACCGCCATCTTTGATTGCATGTACCACATTAGAGGAATTATCAGAAACAATGAAGCTAGGAATAAGGAAATTAGGAGAAAGCCACAGACCAATCTGGTCATTTAATTCTTGTAAAATGTTGGTTATCAAGCAGTCTTTGGCCAACCCTGTTACACAAAGTACTGCCCACTTTCTGAAATTGGGGATCCTGCCATTACTGGAAGAAGGTGCAGTTTCCAAAGAGACCCAGTGTACAGTCACAATGAAATAGTCAGTGGATGGGTCATGGGTCCATATGTCCACAGTCAGGTGGATCTTTTGGCTTTGAACATTCTCCAAAGTTAAGAAAATTTTTTCTCTGACCCAATCATATAATTGAGGTACGGCTTTTGTGAAAAAGTAAGTTTCAGATGGTAACCTATAGTCAGGGGCCACAATCTGCATGAACCTCTGAAAGGCTGGAGTTGAGAAGTAGTTGTAAGGATGCATATCCTCCACAATCATTTGAATAATTGCCTGACTTATTTGACTTGAGACTGAATTTTCAGAATACGTTGTTTCTCTCTCCTGTGCGTGTGTCAGCGTGTCTTGCTCTGCTACAGGAATAGGACTCTCAGATCTTCTACTATTTTCAACCTCTAACACAGGAGGTTCATCTGAATCAGAGTCACTAAGGTCCTCAGCTGTTAAATCATGGCTGCCTGTAGACTTCTCTCCATGCAGAGGATCGCTTAAGAGATCATTTCTCTCAGTGTCAGCCTCATCTAATCCATTTCCAACCGCACCACTGTCTTTGTTGGCAACAGCCCAATGGATGGGATGTGTGGCCTGCAGGTGTCGTTGAAGAGTTGAAGTTCCTAAGTGAGAACCTGGCCTACCCCGGCTCACACTTCTTTTACATATATTACACACAGCTCTTGAGATGTGCTGAGGATCGGTATAAAAAAAATTCCAAACTGCAGATGTCTTGGCTCTTGTTCCAGGAATTAAGGCATGCTTGACAATATTACTTTTGATGAGAAATCTCCCTCTTTCTGCCCTCAGGGCATCAGATACTGATTTATCACGTTTCTTACCCATTCTGTTTTCATCTAATGGATCAGTAGACATATATTCAAAGCTTCCATTGCTTCCAGCAGAAGAGGGAGATAAAGGCACATCCAAAGTAAAATCCTCCTCCCCACTAGTGACTCCATATTTGTTGGCCCTGGTCCAGTGAGGTGAATGCCTTGCCTGCAGATGTCGTTGTAGAGTAGATGTCCCCAGATGGCTGCCTGGTTTGCCCCTGCTAACACTTTTTTCACAGAGGTTACAAATAGCTCGCCAGGTATACTGGGGGTCAACATGAAAGAAGTGCCATACAATGGAGGTCTTGGCTCTGGTACTAGGTAGATAGATCTGTTTTTCTATATTGCTCTCAAAAAGACTTTCTTCATCCTGCTCATGGGCACTGGAAGCTAATAAAGCAGGGGCATCTGCAACAGGCCTCCCAGATCCCAAATCCTTAAACTTTTTCGCAAGGATCAGTTTTTTTCTTCGCCTTTTCCCCTTAATCCGTAAACCCTTCTTTCTTTTCTTTTTAGCAGGCAATTTTGCCTCTTTATCCATTCCTTCTGCCACCATCTTTCCCTCTACCACATCTTCTTCATCTGTATTCGAATTAATAGGAACACATCCCAGAATCCCAGCACCACTAAAAGTGCTGCATCGTCTGCCAGGAGAGAGTGAGGAAACTGGTACACTTAAGGTACATACACTCATTCTCTTTATGTCTCCAAAATTCGTACCAGAATCTGTTAGTGGGTTTGTTACTCAAGCAGAAATACAGCTGTTCCTCTCTAATTGCATTACCTTGTCTCCAATTTCTATGGGGAATCAAATTCCCTTTGGAACAATGACTTTCAAGCCAGGTTATTTTTGGAGGAAAAGTGACAGCAATGGAGAACATTCCCAAACTCTTTTCTTAGAGGGTTTTATGATCCCTTCCAATTTCTGAGTTCTGAATCTGATTTCAAATAGTCCAATCTCTTCATGTTATAGAAAAAAAGAACTTGAGGCCCACTTTCCCAGAGTCATAGAGTTAGTAGCAGCTAGAAGCCAGGTCTTCCAAATCCCAGGCCCATGTCCTTTCTGCTTCATCAAGAACTACATCTCCTTGAAATGCCTTCAGCTTTAAAAATATGTGTTTTAATGATGTGTCATGGTAGTAACATCAATTTCCCTTAATTCTGCAATTAATTATTTTCAGGAAATTTCACTTAAACAAAAACATAGTGCATCATTCAACATTCATCCCTTAGGACTGTGACTGGACAATACAACCCAAAAAGTCAATTCTGGGAATATAAAGCAGACTCCACATACTGGTCATTAACAGCAAATGCTAGTTGAGCCCTTTCAGCTTTAAATATAAATAATACAATTATTAAAAATGTGGATGGCAAAAAAAAAAGTGTTTTGAGAATAAAAATTTAAAAGGTCACAAGCTGCATTTTCAATTTACTGTTTGTATCAAGAGTTAATCCAAATTTAGTTTTCAGACATTTTTAGACTGGAGAAGCTTTACTGCCTGTAAATGTACTAGTAACTCATGAGTGGAACTCTATATGAACAGCAAACACTGAAATTTAAGCTTTAAACCACTTTCATTCCTTTTCGGTTGATCCCTCCCCTTCCCCCAATACCTACATACATTTACCCTAAAAAGCATCGCTATCACTAGTTCCACAGCCTCCTTCTCAAGGTCCAGAACCAAGGCCTGCAAGATGTCAACAACATGGGCCTTCCCCATAGGAATCCGCACCGATTATGGGACTTTAGGGGGTGTTCTTCATTACGGTTTCATCAATCCTACAAGGAGAACGGAAGTGTCCCTGTTGTTCTTGACTCCGATGCGGAGGGCTGGGGTGGGAGTTAATTAAAGTAGGGAAGGGGTGTAGGATACCGGATTAAGGTCGGTGGCTTTCAGTATGTGGAGTTTGAGAATATCTCCCAAGTAGTGGGACCCTGGAGAGGAACGAGAGTAGGTAAATTCAGCTCCTGGCACCCAGTTTGATTTAGGCAGTGGGGGTCCGCTAAACTAGGGAAACTGTTGTCGCGAAGAAAGCAAGCTAGTGTCAGTTCTCTCTCCGGGAGACGGGGAACAAGCCGGCTTTCCGGGGCTGCTCCGGGCTCCTACGGTTTCGCCAACACCGGATGTGGGGGAGGGGAGGAAGGTTGTTGGGAAGGAGCAGGCGCCGTGGGGGTGGGGTGCAAGGGATGGGGGTGGGGTGACTGGAACTGAGAGCGGGAGCCCGGGGCTCCCAGCTCGCCCCGGCGAGGGCGGCGGGCGGGGGGTAGGGGAGGGGGGTCGTTACGGCGGGGCCGAAGGACCCGCTCTGACTTCCCGGGCTAGGCCGCAACCCAGGGGCGAGGGGAGGCCGCGGCCACTCCCCTCGCCCTCTCCCCCACCTCCCCTGCCCCGAGCCACCGGGAATCAAAAAACGGGTCTAGTTACCAGAGAACAGAAACTTTACCGAACCGCCGACACTGTCCCCGACTCCCGCTTGCTGCCACGTCTTTCTTCTTTCTTAGCCGCTGCCGCCCGCCGTCCTCACAGCAGCAGCACCAGCAGAAATCCAAGACTGCCAGCGTCAAAGATGGCGCCTGGCTACAGGCTCAGCTCTAAGACCCGGCCAGTAAAAGTGCCAGCACGACGCAATGCGAGAGGATTCTGGGAGATGTAGTTTCCTCTATGAGGCGATGCTTAAGATGGTTTCCCCGGGTCACAGGGTCACGTGAGAGGGGAGGTGCTAGGACGTGGGGTGTCTTAGTTTTGGGGGGAACGCGGTTTTGGAAACTTACGGGTTTCTTGAAACCGTCTTTGATTTAAAAAAATTTTTTTTTTAATTTTTTAATCAAATGAGGTAATAAGCGAGAAAGCCGCGAGAACTGTGTCTACCAGACAGTAGGCCCTCATAGAATTTGGTTCATAAGTAAATCGCCTGAACCATGTATAGTTTTCATTTAGAAATAAACTACTTTCCCCATGCAGTGTTGAAGGATCTGTGCCTTTATTTTTATTTGAAGAGGTGAAATTGGGTTTGGGGGAATTTCTTTTATTTCTTAAAACAAATTTTTGTGTTGAAAAAATAATTCATGCTCATTACAAGTTTCGTGAGGGTTGGAGTAGGGAAAGGAAAAACCAGTGGTCGCCTGGCCACTTCATTATTAACATTATACTGTACTTTCCAATTTGGATGTGTTTACCTTTTTTTCCTCTCATTATAAAAGTAATACATATAAGTGGTTTTTAAATTTTTTAAGTAATATACAATTGTGGAATATTGACCTCTCCATTAATTTCATTCCTGCAAAATAATCTCTCACTAATTTAGCATATATTCTTTCTAACGTTTTTGTATGCAAATATACCTAAGTCTATTACTCTGATCGAGTAGGAGCCCAAGATCCCCTCTGGGTTAGTGGCTCAACAGAACTTACTTAGGTGGCAACATTTTACCCAGCTTGGATAAAGGATACAGTTCTATTACTAAGAAAGCATACATTTGATGGTTAAGCAGATGGGACTCCAGGCACCTTTTATTTCCTCCCAGGCTTGTTCGGCCAGATACCAGCTTGGTGTGGGAGCCTCAGCCAGTCCCAGGTCTCCTCACACTTGGGCTTTTATCCCCTTTTAAAGTGAGAAGGCACAACATTAGAATCCTAGCCCCAATCCCTGCCTTACATGACAATACTCTGTGATTGCCATGTCAACCAGGCCCAACAAGCAGGTTCCTGATAACCAATTTCTGTCTGTGCCACAACACCTAGGGTGTTTAACTGAAAAGTTTAGCAGAAGGCTAGCCAAACAGCTGAAGGGGTTTTCAGCCCAGGGCTTTACAAGCTGCAGTCCTGTTCTGATTGGTATACTATATATAGTTATATCATATTTCATCAAATCTAAAGCAATAAGACGCATCTTATTTTATAGAACTCTAAGACAAAAAAAAACAAACAAACAAACCAAAAACCAGAAAACCCAGCCATTAATCAGAGCTGTTAAAAGTTGAAAGGATATATGTTTTAGATAGAAAGAAATACAGTGTTTTAAAGATATGAACAAGCTAAAACTATCCATACTATCCATATTGTTTTGCAGTTTGCTTTTTTCCCCACTGTACGATGTATCTTGAATATCTTTTAATGGTCATCAGTGCTTAGAGGCCTACCTTATTCTTTTTAACAGTTCCCATTCCACTGTAAGGCTGTTTTGCAGTAAGTTTCAGCAGGATATGAACAATGTGAGGCAGAGATCACTGGGGCCTATCTTGGATGCTTGCTACCATACCAGGTATTAGTGATAACTGAATCTTCCACTGACAATTTTACAAGTGTGATGATTGAAAGAATTTTCCACAGTCTAGCTTCTGGCTCCATACATTTCAAACCTTGTCTCTTCTCCATAATCTACATGCCACTTACATCAAGATCTGACCTCTTGCCCTATGACTTTGGGTCATAATGCCAGATGAGTCTGCACAGTGGGTAATAGGGGTATTCTTGAAAGCCATTTCTACACCAACATGTCTCTAACCCAGTGTCCATCACCGGCATCCATCATCCCTCCTCTTTTTCTTCCTGCCTTTGGGGTTCAGCTGTCTGGTACGAGTGAAGAAATAGGGACCAGCAGAGCCTCCTAGCAAGAAGCCTTAAATAGAAATCACAAACATCTGCTAACTAACTACAACAGATAAATTTCAGCATCTTGCTCTAGCTGCAAGACCAGAACTGGTTTCACTGAAATCAACCTTCCTAGGACTGCCTTCACCTCTGCACTCCCAATGCATTCTTAGGTTGTTTTATTTCCTCGTATGGAATTTTTTTTCTTGGTATTTAATTTTGGAATGAGGTAACTGGTTTTATTGGGTGATGGGTCATTTAAGAAAAGACAGATTAGTTTTCATCCTCATCATCCTCAGTTACCTTACACTAACTATACTCCTACATTTAGCTTGCTGTGCTAGGCTTTGTGGGGGATCCCAAATGGGCCTAAGGTGTGGAAATGCCCATGTGGAAGTTTTCTGGAAGACCTGATAAATACAAAGCTAAATAACTACCAGGTAGTGCACACCAAGTGTCCAGCCATGGTTTAGACTTGGGGTTACAAACTCAAATACTTACATGAGCCAGGCACATATGAGTACAGTGAGCAACTGCAAGGATAAAACTTGGAGTCCGTGCCCTAGCCAAAGGGCCAGCTGTTACAATGAACTCCAGCCCATTCCTGCCAAGAGGGGATGCAGACTCACTGTCACCACATCTTCTGATTTTTATTTTATTTTTAAAATATTTTATTTATTTATTTGACAGAAGGATAGAGAGAGAGCACAAGTAGGCAGAGTGGCAGGCAGAGGGAGAGGGAGAAGCAGGCTCTCCGCTGAGCAGGGAGCCCGATGCGGAGCTCAATCCCAGGACCTTGGGATCATGACCCGAGCCGAAGGCAGCCGCTCAACTGACTGAGACACCCAGGCACCCCTATCTTCTGATTTTTAAAGAGAAGCTGAATATTCAGAGTTTTATCTGAAAATTTCTGATTTGTCAACTTGGAAGCTAATCCAGATAAAACAACTACAACAGAAATCACTTTGTGGGCTGGTCTACAACCTCTACTTTAGTTCTAGAAGGGTTAGAAAGGAGGTGGCCACTGAAAAGTGCAGTGTTTCAGGACATGCTTTCTGGAGGGAGTGAGACTTGAGTTGCCCGAACGTGGGCCAGAGGTGAGAGGTAAGTGAAGACAAGGAAAGAAGCTATGTAAGGAAACCTCCTGAAGGGGTGAGGAGAGAAATTCAACTGGAGGAGTCCCCAGGTTAGAGAAAGAGAGAACATTGTAAACGTAGGTGGGAGCAAGAATCAAGAATTCAAGGTGGAAGACCTTGGATGTTGGGAAGGCATTTGAATAATATTGTTTAGACAATAGGGGTTCCTCGAAGGGTTTGGAACAGGAATAAAATGGGAGAAAGTTTGTAGAAAGGTAGAAAGTGTGCAAAGTTGTGTCTCAGAAAGACTGAAATAGTGGTGATGTTCAGTCCCTTGTATTTTAAACTTGTCTCTCTATCATTGTTCCCCAAAGCCTAGCAACATTCAAGATTCCTCCTTCTATTTAGAAAGAAAAATTGGGTGGTGAGGAAGTCTTATGCTCAGTTCCTAATTTTTCTCTGGCACACCTAATTTCTCATCTTTTTTGCCAAGATCACTGGCTACTTTTTCACCTTACATACACTCTTCAATGTATTTCATTTAGATTTACATCCTCATGGCTTCTCTGAAATTACTATAGTGTGGTCAAATTTTAAATTGAATGGCTCCTTTTCAGTGCCTATTTTTCTTCTTTTTAGTAACCAGCTTATAGTGACAGTTTATTATGTGCCAGGCAATACACTAACAGTTTTTTTTATATACATTATCCAATTGAATCCTCAAAATAACTGTTAGATTACTGCTATTATCTATTCCTATTAGATAAGTAATATTATTAACCTTCTTTTACAAACACTTATAAAGTTCTAGTGATGAGTCCAAGGGGTCATTGCTAGTGAGTAGCAAAGTCAGGCTTCACACCCACGTCTGTCCAACTCCAAATCATTATGCAATCATTTGATACTCATTCACCATTTTTCTTTCTTTCTTTTTTTTTTTTAGAGACACAAAGAGAGAGAGCACGTGTGCACATGCCAGGAGGGGAGGGAAGGGGAGGGGAAGAGGGAGAGGGAGAGAGAATCCCAAGCACGCTGATTGTGGAGCTGATCTCAAGACCCTGAGATCATGACCTGAGCCAAAACCAAGAGTCGGATGCTTAACAGACTGTGCCATCCAGGCGTCCCCATTTTTTCTTTCTTTAAACTTCCTCTCCCATAGTTTAAAGAACAAAATTCTATCTTGGTTTCCTTCCAAATTCTCTGGCTGCCTGTTCTCTAGTCTCTTTGCATGTTCCTCTTTCTCTGTCCCTCACTTAATCATTGGTGTTCCCCAGGATTCAGTCCTCATCCCTCATCTTTTCTCACTCTGCATTCTCTCTCTGGGTTATCCATCCATTTCCCTGGTTTCAACTATGAATTAATTTTATGTGGTGACTCAGATCTGTATCTCTGACCCAGATCTCCGTCCGGCTGCCTACAGGAATCATTCAATTGGATGTTCCAGAGTCATTTTAAATTCAACTTACCAAAACGAAATCATCACCTCGTGTCTCCAACATCTCCTCCTCTTCCTGACGTCTTTGTCTTAGTGGATGGCGCCACCCACCATCCACCCAGTTACTGAGGTCAGAAATCTGGGAGTGAACGAGGACTCCTCTCTTTTCCTCACCTCCCATGTCCAAATACTTAGGAGCCTTATTGACTTAGCCCCCTAAGTACCTCTTGAATCTGCATCTTTCTTTTCCATTCCCATTGCTTCTGCTTAGTGTAGGCCTTTATCACTTGCTGCTCATTCTCTCGATTGCTGCCATGCCTCTTCACTGGTTTTGCTGCCTCTCCATCTTGCCCTCTCTTCTCTCTCTTCCAAACAACCGCAGAATTTCTCTTCAAAAATGCAAGTATAGGGGCGCCTGGTGGGCTCAGTCAGAAGAGCACTCAACTCTTGATCTTGGGCTTGTGAGCTCAGCC